TTTTTTTTTATTTCTTTAATCTATGACTATCTGTAATCTGTCTCTTTAAAGACTGTTATATTTTAAAACCTTTTACTTTTTAAAAAAACTATTTCTTATCTATCCCAAGCTTATGTATTGTTATTAAAAACTGACCCATTTAGTGGTCTTTTACATCTAAATTTTTCCTTTTTTGTGAATTTACTGAGTGGGACAGAAACATGCCTAGGCTAGCAAATCAGGAGCATGTTCTCACTCCACCTTGGGTGCCAGATAAGCAAAACATGGCAGTTGTGGGGAGTACACAAATAAAGGAATCCCTCACTAGCTTTGAATGGTATACTAAGGTTTTTTTTTTGTTTTGTTTTGTTTTGTTGTTGTTGTTAATTGAAAGGGAAACTCAACTCATGGATCACAACAAGAACATAGAAATGGGGTCCAACATCCAGGTGTGGTACTTTGGAGGAAGAGGGGTGAGCATGTGGGACCATGGCCTTTTGGTATCTAAAGCCATGCCCCAACTTTATCTAGCATCTAAGGGCCATTTACTGAAGGAGGTTCCCCATCAATCCACTCCTAATCCTTAAATGAAGTTGTGGTCTTCTCCATGGTAAAATTAGTTTTATTGTACTTGCAAATTCTGTTGCATTGGAATATCACTAAGGATAAAGCCTATTCTATTTTTTTCATCACTGTATGTGGAGAGTCTGTTTTTGGTAAAGTAAGTGAAGAAAACCTACAGAACTGTTGAGTGGATGAATTGATTCATGGAGTTCTCAAATAATAGAAGACTGCATAACTAATAAGAGCTCTTTCAAAGCTGTATCAGGAGAAACCAGAGTTCAAACTCAAACTGGGTTTTGTAATAACAACTTGACAATAAATACATAAGCACTGCATGCATAAAAATGATAACTACATGCACTAAAAATTTTCAAAGGCATGGTGCAAATCAGGAGAGGAGCAAGAGAGTTGTCATCTCAAATATGTTTCATGGAACATATGGATTTTTATCTTCGTACTGAATATCAGGGTAATAAACATCATAGATATAAGTGTTTTGTTTGCAATTTTGTTGAAAGGTGTACTTTTTATACTTTCAATTGGTATATGGTAACAGTTAGTAAAAGAATAGGTTTTTAAATAAATCAAGGTGATACTATTCTGTGGTTATTCAATGTTGTATAATAGTAATCTCTATGTGCAATCATTTTATAAAACTATGAAACTCTTACACAATAAGCCTATCTAAAATGACCTTCTGTAAGAGAAAAGGATGAAACATTGATTCAAACTTTGAAGAGTTCATTTCAATGAAGGACAGAGATGATAATGTACAGACAGATAGTTTGCTTTCCAATCATTTTACTTTATTCAGTGGTAGAACCTGGAAATCCTGGATAGGCAGCTAAAATGCCCATTAACCTGTCACAATCAAATATCAGATGTCTTAAATGAATCTTCAGGAAGTGTTGAATCAAAGCCAAGATATAAATGAATTTTCTTTTAGATTTGTATAATGCCTTTTTGTAGCACAAAGAGAGAGCTGTCCTTTTGAATGTCAGATATAAGAAGGAATGACTTTGAACTTCTAATAAAATGTCCATAGTGAAATTTACAAACCTAAGTTAAATCCAAAAATGATTTACTTTTCAAGGAATCACATATTTTTAAAGCTTTTTCCTTAAAAAGTGCATATTGTAGTTTTATAATAATATTGAACTTCAGCATTTTTACTATGGATTGATGTTTACTAAGCATATAGTCAGAGGATACCCCAAGTAAAATTCCATTTAATATGGGACATTAAGAAGAGAATGTGTTTAATTTTCAGGAACAATTAAACTTACTTTTAAGTAATGTTGGCAAGCAATACTTTTCTTAGCAGATACTAATCACTGACTTTTCAAAAAAATATTAATTGTGTTGTATTATATATGTATCAGTATTTGGGTTCCATGTGTCTACATACCATAGGCATGAAATGCTTGTGGAGGCTACAGTGATTCTGGAGGTCAAAAGAAAGTATGGATTTCCTGGGACTGAAGTTACAGACAGTTAGCAGTACCCATGAGTGGAACTTGAACATGGGTCACCTGGAAGAGCAACCAATGAAGTCTCTAGCTGAAATATCTCTCTGATTGCATCATTGACATTATTAACAACATAGTTGTTTGTTTCATTTTAATAAAGCCCAATACAAGTTAATAATCCTTAATAAAGGACACCATAAATATTGCACTATTTAGTCACTTTTAAATTAATTATTTTGGCTTACAAAATATTTGATTTTTTTCTGTTTTAGATACTATTTATGGTATATGTACAAGAAAAAAAACTGAAATTTTCTCACATTTATTCAGTTGTAGTTTTACTGTGCATTATAGTGGCTGCAATTTCAAAGTAATTTAGTAAAAATATTGGTTCCAAGCAAGATGTAGAGGTCAACAATGCTGTACTCATTTTTCAGGCAAGCAAGATTATTTTGAATAGTTAATAAAATCTAGTGAATAAATAAAAAGATAGAAGAATCATGAAGTGTAAATACAGATGCTGGCAGCAATAAAGGTGAAATAGTTTTAGACAAGGCTGTGAGAGTACTTAGAGAAAGCACAGGATATTCAGGACAGTATAAGTAATTTAAAATAATTCAAGTTGATGGTATTCAAATTGTAAAATGTGCTCAGACAGAAAGGTGATAACACACAGAGGTCCTTAACTGTCAAGCTGAAGGATTGGAGTTTACTCAGGAAGTCATGATATTTGCAGTTACACAGCCAAGGTGAGATGAAATATTCATGGAGTTATTATGAAAATAAAAAAATGCTGATAAAAATATTCCTAGCATCCCAAGAAATGCTTTCTGCATTTGATATGGTTTCAGTCAGAAAAAAAAACATAAGAAATGTATCTGTGCATTTTGCAGAATTTCAAAGTTGTTCTGCATAGTGTTAAAACTAAAAATGTGCCTGTTCCATCTTAAATCAAGAGAAACATCAATTTCTTTCAAAGAGGTACAAGTAGAGACAAGACAAGTGGAGCACAGAGCTGATTGATTGATTGAAACAAAGTCATTGGGAAAGAAAGAAAATAGCTGAGGATGGTGACAGGTTTAGGTATTCTACATTTAGAAAATTCTATTGTAAGGTAGCATGCTTGTTTGTTTCCCAGCCACTGAGCAGCCCAGACCTGAAATAATCACAGAGAAACTATATTATTTAAAAAACTTCTTAGCTTCTTATTGAATGACACTTATATCTTAATTTAACCCATTTCTGACAATCTGTGTATCGCCACATGGCTGTGGCTTAACTGGAAAAGTTCTCAGCATTTGTGTCTGCTGAGGCCCCATTACTTCTCTCTAACTCTTCCTTCTTTCTCCCAACATTCAGTTTAATTTTTCCCACCTACTTCTATTCCCTGTGCAGGCCCAAGACAGTTTCTTTATTAACCAATGGTATTCACAGGATGCAGAGGAGAATCCCATATCACAAGTCATTAAGAATTAAATTCCAAAACCATACCTAAGGCCAAGCATACTTTACAGGGCATTACAAATATTTCTGTCACAAAAAGAAAACCAGATCTTTTTGAGTTGTCAGGATAAACATAATGCCAGACTCGTATAACTGCAGGTTCTTGGGAATATTGTTGTAATTCCATCAGTAAGAGAGGCAGGAATATCACAAATTTGTAGGAAGCCTGGGCTAGGTAGAGGATTTTATCTCACAACAATGAGTCTAGGTATAATTATGTTGATTTGGGATGTACATCAAACCATCACACTCTTGAAGTGGAGAACGAATAGAGATAATGGTCAGGTTAAACAGTCTGGGAATTGCTCCAAAGTCAGGGTCAGCATGGATAGTCTAAATAGAATCAAAGAGAGGAAACCATGAAAAAAAACTGAACAAATTTAGAAATTGTGAAAACCAAGAGAAATAAGTGCTTACTGAAGGAAGGCTAGCTCTGCTGAATAAGACATGACTTTTTGGTTTTCTCATTCTTTTTAAATTGTATGAATTCTTGCATTTTGTTATTCTTTTATTTAGTTTTATAACTTGGTAAATGTCATATTTTTTAAAGTATACTTTATTATTATTTGTGAGTCAGAAAGTATATTTTTGGTGTAGAAGTTGTTTGAGAAGATTACTTTTTTGATAGAAAGCAAATTCTAGTAACCTGCCAGTATCTTATTATACAACAACAAAAATGCATCTTACTTTGCCCCACAAACAGTTTAAAGTTTGGAAAAAGCATCTTTTTATATGAGGTAAATTTTGATTATCCTAAAATTATGATAAAATTTCAGAAATGTATAGACATTTATTTTGAGTTCCATCACATAAGAAATCACCAACAAAGTGAACAAAGCAGCAAAGACAGGATTGACTAGGTCTGTACCAGATCCTTTGTGTATGTTATAGCTTTCAGGATAGTGTTTTTGTGGGACTCCTTAGTGTGTGAATGAGTGGATTCCTGATTCTGGTGCCCTCTCTTAGATTCTTTTCTTTCTGCTGATTTGCTTCAGTAGTTTTTATTTTATTTCGTTGTTTGTTTTAGATGATTTTATACTATTTTTATATTTTTATTATTATCTTTTAGAGTTCTGTTCTCTTCTAATAAAAGACATAAAGGATGAAGATCCAGAAGTGAAGGGACATAGACAGAAACTGGGAGGAGCTGAGGGATGGAAACCTGAAACAGGATATATTGCATGGGAAAAGGAACTATTTTCAATTAAAGGAGAAAATGCTTAAAAAGAACAGTAAAAAGATAATTAAGAGTAGTTGATAAAATATTTGTGAAAGGGTACCCTACATATCAGTGCCTTATGTACAGCTGATCATGTAAAATAAGAAGCTGTATACCTTAAAGTAGCAAATACAGAAATTATACTCTTTGATTTTTAAATGTGTTATGTTTTATTGATATCTAACATGATAAATATGAATAATTTGTGAATCATTTTCCATCAACACAGGCAAATTTTTATTTCTTTTCTGAATCTTTGTGAACAGAGCCCAGATGGCCGAATTGAAGTCAAAGGGCAGCGGGGACATTCGTCACTGCACATCAGAGATGTGAAGTTATCGGATTCAGGGAGATATGATTGTGAGGCTGCGAGTAGGATCGGTGGGCACCAGAGAAGCATGCATCTTGACATTGAATGTAAGTAATATTTAGTGTGAATTATCATTACAACAACCTTAGCTGGTCTGAGAAAATATGACTCTTATATGAAAATCAAATGAACAGTTATTACATTTTTTTCAATATTCAATGCATAGTTTTAGGAGGAAGGAAACTACTCAGTAAGCTATTAGAAATAACTAATGGAAGTCTGTGTACATTTCACAATGATTTGCATTTAAGAGTGACTATTATCCTTTGAAATATTTAGCTGAAAATACCAGATCAACTGAGCCACACTTGTTTTTCATAACCAAGTCTTTAGACCATGTATTTGTTTGTGTATACAAGCACATACGTGCATGTACATGAGTGTGTGTGTGTGTGTGTGTGTGTGTGTGTGTTTAAAGGTTAAAGTCTTAGGTATGTAGATGTGTTTTCAGTTCTTCCCTATTTTGTTGAATTATTTGGTGTCAACATAAAATACAAAATGCAGTGACGCATGACAATTCTTATACTTCATCAAAATGTGTTTAGTGTCAGTAAATCATGATTGTTAAAAGTATAATTTATAAGCAGTAAAAAACAAGGACTTTTTGAATTTTGCATACAAATGGATGGAAATAGAAAACACTATCCTGAGTGAGGTAAGCCAGACCCAAAAAGAGGAACATGGGATGTACTCACTCATATTTGGTTTCTAGCCATAAATAAAGGACATTGAGCTTATAATTCACGGTCCTAGAGAAGCTAAATAAGAAGGTGAATCCAAAGACAAACACATAGGCATCCTCATGAATATTAACCTTCATCAGGCGATGAAAGGAGACAGAGACAGAGACCCACATGGGAGCACTGGACAGAAACCTCAAGGTCCAAATCAGAAGCAGAAGGAGACGGAGCACGAGCAAGGAACTCAGGACCACGAGGGGTGCACCCACACACTAAGACAATGGGGATTTTCTATTGGGAACTCACCAAGGCCAGCTGGCCTAGGTCTGAAAAAGCATGGGATAAATCCGGACTAGCTGAACATAGCGGACAATGAGGAATACTGAGAATTCAAGAACAATTGCAGTGGGTTTTTGATCCTACTGCACGTACTGGCTTTGTGGGAGCCTAGGCAGTTTGGATGCTCACCTTAGGAGACCTGGATAGAGGTGGGCAGTCCTTGGGCTTCCCACAGGTCAGGGAACCCTGATTGCTCTTCGAGCAGATGAGGGAGGGGGACTTGATCGGGGGAGGGGGAGGGAAATGGGAAGCGGTTGCGGGGACGAGGCAGAAATCCTTAATAAATAAATAAATTTAAATAAAAAAAAAGAAGTTGTCAATAATTTTCATGATTAGGTGAGTTCAAGACTATGTGGAATCCTATAACTACAATTTATATTTATATTTACATGTAAATATAAATTGAGCTTCTCCCTTAGTTTATTACGTGGAATTTAAAATAATTTTCTATGAATGCATTTAAAGAGGAGGAAATATAAAGTAATTCTCAACAACTACATCAGGATGCTACCTGATACCTGAAGAACATTAATTGCCTTAATGGAATTTTTTGAAATATTCTTGCGTACATAACATTTTACCATGTTATTTTCTCTACATTAATATTAATAGACAGTAATAGTAACTATTAATCATGATACAACTCATATTGAGAATTTCTTTAAAAATAATTAAGTTCAATGTGAATAAACTATATCACTACATACTAACCAACTGTGCTAATAACAATTGCAAGAAGCTATTTCATGGACATCACATGCATCTTAACAAACAGCTACACCATAAAAAGCATTGAATAACTACTAATGCACAAAATTAGTTCTGTGTCTTCATCAGAGACATATCTGTTCCAGCCATTTGTCCATTTCTAAATCAGGTTGTTTCATTGTCTGTCAACTTGAGGTCACTATGAATTTTGGCTCTTCCTTTTTATGATGCATGGTTTTCACATATTTTCTCTTTCTGTGGCTTTTGCCTAACTTATCTTTAGTCACTATGCACTCTCATCTATATGTATATCAATATAGTACCTAATTCTTATTGTCATCATACAGATAGAATTTATATAGCTACAACTATTTTTCTTATTTTGAAGTTAGTTATTAAAGGATGAACATGTATACACATATTTTATCTACCATACATATTTAAATTATTTTTTCCATAGTCAAATTGTAATCTATGAAATATATAATGCTGAAGTTTTATGCATTGCAGTTTGCTTTGAACTTGATCTCCCTTTGAATCTTCACATCTATAACTCCTTCCTAAGCTTTGGAAATTTAATTTTATGTTAAATTCTGTGATTCATTTCCAAGCACCTTGAGAAATATCCCCTTCATTTTTCACTCCATGCGTCTATTGACAAACTATTATTTGTTGAAATGCTTTCCTTTCTGGAAGACTTACCAAGATTGATGATCAACTTTTAAATTTCCTAATTTTAGTGTTTTTTTAAGTACTATTATGTATTATGTATCTGTGTTGTATTTTGAAAATTTTTATCTTATCTTCATTATTCCCCCAATTTTAAAGTTGTAGATTCACTTTACTCTTTGTATAAAGTATTTTAATGTGAAATCTTGGTAAGTTATTTAATATACTTCATATTTTTAAAAGCATACATATAATAATCACCATTTCTTAAAATGTTCTAATCACATTCCAAACTTTGATATTTGTTGCATTTTTATACATGCCAATTACTATTTTCTTTCACTAATATTTGAAACATGCTAAGAAATACATTACAGTGATACACATTTATAACATTATACAAACACCAGAATGTGTTTCTTAACCAGTTAAAAATATTTTTGAAGAACTGCAGGTAAAAGCTATACCATCCTTTTAATCTACCTTGGTCCTTAATGTTCTAAATCTATTCACTGTAGATTCAATTTGTCTCCATATCTATTGTGTTGTGTGTATGTTGTTGTATAGTTTAGTATATATTATCCGCCTCTTTCTGTAGTTCAAGGTGAACAGAAATTCATGTCAATCCTCATGCATCAGCCTGCAGATAACTGGGATTACAAGTGTGTGAGACAACTGAACCTGTTTTTGACAGTGTGGGCTCAGAATAAAAGTGGTTTCTCATCTGAAACACTGTGGAGGTAGAAAGCCCAGAGTAACTAGTCACAATATGATGAGGGTCCAGCAATAACTTTCTGGATAACAAGCCAATAAAGAGGACCTTACAAGTCATGTTATTCTCAAAGGGCAATATGTATGAGGAGAGAGTGGAGAGCCTGGCCAGTTGTTCCCCCAATTTCTCTTATTCAGTCACAAGATCAAACTGTTCAGTAGCTTCAAGCTCAGCATTCAAGCCATTGCCCACTCTTCCAGCTCCAATTTCAGGATCTCTGGCACCTTCTTTTGTTTCTCTTTCACAACTGGAGGAGAGATACCAAGAAGTGTTGTATCTGGAACCCAGGGCTTTACAGGTACTTTGGAGACTTCAATTAACTTTCAATACACAACAGGTGAGACTCCAGGCAAATCTTCAGGTCTCTCAAATCCAAAGAAGGATCGTCGGACAGTAGTGGAGGTTGAGGTAGAACTGAGTCTATCCAGCTGACAAGATCATCTGTTTTTCTGAGAGATTTCCAGGTCTCTGGTGTCCAGCTCTCCCTCTCCGGAGTTAGACTCAATGTTCTGAGTGTACAGCACTGGGGTGCTGGTGGGGGTACAAAGGACACTACAAATGTTGAAGATGTGTTTCTTAGTAGGAACCTTGAGAGAAGGAAGTACCCCCCCCCCCCCCCCCCGCAAGATAAAAGAGATCAAAAAACTCCTTAGAAGTGTGTGGATAGCTGGGACCTCTGGAGCCACTATTGCATGAGGCACGATCTTCAAGATGATGGAATTTCTAATTGGTGTCACGTGTGGTGTTTTTAGCCAAATTTCAGGAAAGATCTTTGGAAGATCTGAGCCAGATTTCCCCTGGGAACTCTTTGACCACTGGGCGGCTCCTCTGGGCCACGTTTGCTGCTCTGACATGCCTATAATCCAGCTCAGTCTCTGCCGCGTAGGCCAATTTATGCTCGTGCCAATCGGGTTGTTCATTCATTCTGAGTAGTTGTTTTTTTTTTTAATATTTATTATGTATACCTCATGCAACACAGGTAAACATTGTCTAGAATATCAGCTCTAAATACACAGCAATTTATTAAACATCTGGACTGTTTTCTGGTTCACAGCTGTTGATTTTCTTTTCCCTTTGGGATTGACTGTCCTCTTCTGGTTCACTGAATGTAAAGAAAAGTTTAACTCTTTCATGGACACTGTAATTATTATGCTGTGCAGCTCTAAAACTTAATAATTACCACAAAGTATGTTGGCGTATTTAGCATTCATTAAAAGCTTTGCTGTGTTGGCTTATGTCTGACCAGTGTAAGCAGAAGACTGGGTCTGTGTGACATTTCTGTGGCATTTGACACAGAATTTTGGCACTGCCATTTCTGAAATCTACATAGGATTGCCATCATCCCTGACAGATGGGCTGCCTCCTTTCCAGATCTCTCTTCTTCTACACTTGTTGCGTCTACATTGCGCTGTAGAAGGATTGTTGAAAACTGGACAAAATCTGACAAAAGGCAAACAGATTAGCTACAGGACAGCAATGGGATTTTTTCCATAAAAATATTTATTTTTGTATTTTTATAATCTTTTCTTTTTTAATGATCTTTATTGAGCTCTATATTTTTCTCTGCTCCCCTCCCTGCCTCTCCTCTTCCCCTGTCAGCCCCCTCTTCCACCCTCTCCCAAGGTCCTCATGCTCCCAATTTACTCAGGAGATCTTGTCTTTTCTACTTTCTACTTTGCATGTAGATTAGATCTATGTAAGTCTCTCTTAGAGTCTTCATTGTTGTCTAAGTTCTCTAGGTTTGTGGTGTGTAGGCTGGTATTCCTTGCTTTATGTTTAATATCCACCTATGAATTAGTACATGTGATAATTGTCTTTCTGTTTCTGAGTTATGTCACTCAAAATAATGTTTTCTAGCTCCATCTATTTTCCTGAAAAT